TGTAAATAGAACACGCGATTGGTGTGTGCTTATAGAATGAGCGGACTTAAGGTCTAAGAAAGATTAAGGGAATCGTCATTAAGAGAGGAATAAAGTATACACAGCGGCATGGGAAATAACCTGCACATTGAAAGACCATTGTCAGAGGGACATACCTCCCACAATGAAGTCCAGCTTAACGTCAACGTACCCTGCGTGTAGGTCGTAAAGTCAAGGTTGACCATTCTCACTTGCGAAAAGTTACTGTATTTTTAATGCATTCGCTTTAAATCAAGCATGGAAAATATGACGAGCGAAAGGGGGGGTTTGGGAGCAGAATCCCCTGCTAGCGGAATTTGGTGATTGAGTTTGGGGCCTGGGAAAAAGATCCCAGGTTTCAAGGGATTTTGGACCGTACGGTGATGTTTGTGGATTCTCAGGAACGCCCCCAAAGCTTGTTGACTGAAGTACTAAGGACTTGGACTCAAGGGGTGCTGGTGGTTTATGAAACAACTGTCTAACTCTTAAACCAGTCCAGTGTGCAATTTTGTTCGAAATGAAGGGAATCTATGGTTTCACGTTGAATTGCATGGTTGTTATATTATCGTAGTTATATATTAAGACCGATACCCATATGGTTCAAGGTAAACTATACATGGAACTGCTAAAATAGTTGGGTAGAAGACACATCTTAACTCTGACATTTTTGTTGGAAATTGAAAGAGGGAAAATCACTTTCCATTTTGTGTATCTGCAATCAGTTTATTGTGGTTTATATTATATTCTCAGCTACGAGAGGCTATGAAATATATTAAAAACAAGGAAGAGTTGAGTGTCTTCGGCAGTTATTATTTACATTAGTTTTTGTATTAGAATATATTATCCTACTGAGAATGCATCTAGCACGAGTTTTTACAGTTATTTTCTATTACTAAACATATACCTAGACTTAGTAAGACTAAGACTGTAAAGATCATTAGAGTTAAGTGCATTTTGATAAGCTGTAAACTATGGATAGCTCTTGGTGTCTTCTTAAAAATTATGGTAGATGTTTGGAAGACAACTGCAGAGGCTTCCAAAATGTGACTTTTCTTTTACTACTATTAATTCTGACTGAAAAGTTTAGTGTCTGGTGATTACCTTAGCCTTACTGCCTGGCGCTCCGGTAATAGGGAGCAAATTTCCATATTGCATATTCTGGCAAGAAAGGTGTTAGACTGGTTCCGAATCTGCTCTTAAATCATAAGGTAGGCTTACGAGCTCTATCTTGCCGGAATTGCATTGAGTTTTTATTCGCTGCTGGAGATTTGTTATCTTAAAAACATTTAATGGAAACACAAATCATTCATGAGTTAATGAAAATTATGAATACAATTTATTTATTTGCTTGTGTCTAAAATTTAACCTTGTGTAAAGGTACGATTATTAGATTATGCATATTTTAAATCTGTGTATTTTTTCTGTTAAATACATTCAATATTACGTAGGATTAAGTAAAGAAGTAAAAAAAATGAAAACCACCAGGCTGTGTCTCTTCTAAAATTGCTTACTATTCTTGAATAAAAGATTTTGGAGATATAAACTTACACTTCCCTATTTTAATCTGTTTTACATTAGTCTCATAATTAGTATAATGAAGGCTTTTCCCAATTTTCTAATGAATGCCATTTTTATTCCAGCAATTTGCAACATAGATGTCCCTTAGTGGGGAGGAACGAGAGTTGCGCTGTGTGCTGAGTTGGTTCTGTAACTGGGAAGACCACCAGAAAGAGCAGTTCCTTACAGTCCTTGTGGAAAAGGCCGTTCCTCCTGATGTCGACCAACTCTTTAGGGTGCGTTTCTGTTTTTTTTTTTTTTTTCTCTCTCTCTCTCTCTCTCTCTCAAAATTGATGAAATATATTTTAAGATAGGGATTGGATCTTTAGATGTGATTGCAAGGTGGATATTATAATTATGGGTGTAATGATTTTAGAGTTGGTCTTAATCTGTAAGGATGAGTTGAAAAGGCATATTTGGTGTTCAGATTTTAAGATTTATACCTCAGGCAAAATATAAAGCAGGGCAAGAAAAAAGGAATGGTAGAATCAGATTAAAAAAAGAAAAAAATTAATGAGTTTTTACTTTCTCCTGCATGCCAGTATCTACAAGATAAAGGAGGCTAGTAAATATTCTTGTTAGCATGATCTTGTTTAGGGTCGCCATCATATAACAGAGTAAATGTTGCCATGCATGACCATCAGCCAACTATCCAAATATGTGATTTAACCCTTAAAAATGGACATGTGGGATACTGTGGCCACTCCCACTTACATATCAGAGAAACAAAGAAAAAAAAGGCCAAATTTACTCTTTTCTGGTATGGTAGAAACAGGTAGCTGGTGGCTTTAGGTTCTTTGTCACAAACATTGAATAAACATTGAATACAAGAATAAGTATGTGCTTTAATTTGACTTTACATTATAGCGTTGTATGTGTACACTGTTTGCCGGTCATCTATATTTTCATCTCTCATAATCAAACA